GAATAGAAGACTCCGACTTTTATAAATTAGCAAACAAAAATGGTACCCTCAAGCAGATTTATACCTGTAATCAGTTTGTAATTTGTAAAAAAATGTTACTTTCCATAGATGAGATGTCTTCTCAAGAAATATCGCTGAGAGAAGCAGCTGCAGCTAATTCGAAAAGTGGAGGGCAAGGTTATGCACCAGTGTTTCCCAACTTAAACTCTGGATGAGTCCATTTTCAAATTGTCCCCCTGTGGGGTGTGGTCCCCACGTTGGTCAACACTGCTATACACGCTGTCATTGCAAAACGAAGTGTTCTATGAATAAATGCAATTGTAAAAGCAAGGGACTCTTGTGCAATTCAAAGTGTCATAATAGTTAAAGTTGTTGCAATAAATAAGATTGTATAACGTTAATCACATAATCTATGTGTAAGTTTATTATTGTATTATTTTCTTTAATGATTTAGAATGTACTGCTTGTTTTAGGTTCAACAGTTTATTTAAATGTGCTGTTACTTAAGCTTTCTCCTATTTTGACATATTAAAAAGTTACATTTTTGTCTTAACATAAAAGAAATATTTTTAATCGGTCATTCACAGTAAGATATATAAATAAATACAAATACCTTATAATATACAGATACAAGTAATCATATATATATCATCCTAAATGTAACAAGAGTTTCTTTAAAAATTTAAAGACTTTTTATTTATATTATTGCTTTTTATGTAAAAAAAAAAGAAACATTTTCAGTCAAGATTTAACTTTTTTCAGCTTAAAATATTTTATTTAACAACTTAGTGTAATGTAGAATACATACATTAGAACAAACTAAAATTATGAACATTAGAAAAGAACAGAATTTTTAGTTGTTTAGCATTTTCAGTGTTATTTTATATGTAATAAAAAAAAATTTTTCAGTTACTCTTTTATATTCTGTGAGCAGTTTTATTTTGTACAGTGGAACTCCGGTTAACGAATGTAATCCGTTTCATGAGTCCGTTCGTTAACCGAAGCAATTTTTCCCATAGAAATTAATGCAAATACAGTTAATCCATTCTAGCCATCAGTATTTTTGTAATTTTATTTGTAAAATGGGTTTTCTTTGATGAAAATATAAGAAAACGTAGTATCTATCATTACAGCAACAAATATGTAAACTTTATTTAATAAAATAGCACTGTACATACCTTCATTTGTTCTAGTTGGTGGCAGAAAACTGGAGATATACGAACCTTAATGCTTAGAAGGGGAATCCCCTCCAAAAAAATAATGGGTAGCACTTCATCGGAAGATTCTTCGAGTCGAAGTCTCTTTCGGTAAAAAACCCACCAGCGGCTAAGTGGTCTTTGTACCTTGAACATGGGGAGTTCGTTCGTGGGTTTGCCCTTCGCTCAGACAGGCTGGCCATGTGGAGTTTTCCGGGTTTTCTCCATGTCTGTAACGCCTAAATAGGGGCCAGTTTCCCTTAAAAACACCTCTCAGAAGGCATTCCCCTAAGCAGATTGCTCAATTGTTGCGTTGCCATAACTTAACAAATAAACACTCTTTCTGTAAGGAAGAAGAAATTGATCTAAAGTTGATTGTCTTACTCTTTTAATAAAAATTTTTCTCAAATGTGATAGCGCATTGTCGTTTATATTGCGATGTCGTTTTCTATTGCCACTATGACTTTTTTCTTTCTTGGATGCCATATTGATTAAATATATAAATCACAAAACTGAAAAAAGAAGTATAGCACAAACACTCTGAAAAGCAATGCTTAACTCGTGCATGCCTAACACCAACTAAAATTTGACAAAAAATACCGGTACGTTTGTTATCCGAATTTTGTTCGTTATCCGAGACAAAATTTTTGCAAAATAAAAGTTCATTAACCGATTTGGTCGTTAACCAGGACGTTCGTTAACTGGGGTTCCAGTGTATAATTAACTCACAAACTGTCAGAATACATTTGTATTTAATTTTAAACCTACTTTTTTTTTTTTTTTCTTTTTTTCGTTATGGCCTGTCACAAATAGTCAATAATCAGTACGTAGCTTATTTGTGGAAGGACTCTGAAAATTTTTTACTTGTCGGAACCTGTAATATCTGGAACAATTGTGCTTATGCTGTCTTAATTTTTAACCGTGCCCAGTGGATTCGATAACTGCGTAGTGCCAGGTTGTGCAAATTGGGCAAGGATACAAACAACTACGAAGCCTTCAAGTATGAAGTGTTTCTTCATAAACCTGATTATTAAAGACAAACAAATTGCTGAATTATTGGGCTATAAGCTTGATGCTGCTATTAAAGCAGCCAAGGTAGACAAATAAGAATACTAGACAGCAAAAGAAGTACTACAATCTCGAAAATGAACTTGAAATCTTCCAGGCTACAGGTGAAAAAGCATATAACATCTGTCTATCTTAAATTCATTAAAGACAATTTTACTAACATCAATTAAATCGGAAAGTGCATTCTCGGTAGCAGGACTTTTCATTACTAAAATAAGAATCAGATTGACTGATCGAAGTATTGACCATCTTTGCTTTTTAAAATCTTATTATAAAAATTTTAAATATTTTGTATTATGTTTTATTTAAAAAATGAAAATTACGTTTTAAGTTAGAAGTTTGATCTAAGTTAATTTTTTTTATATTTTCAACTCAATTCAAAGCATTTTGTTGTTCTTGTTGTATGCCGTTTCTAGCAAACTTTTATAAATTTTTTCTATTTGTGAAAATTTCTATGTAATTCAAAGGTAATTTTTAATATACATCTTATACAGCATTATTATGATTTTGGAGGTTGCCGAACGTATTAAATTACTTTAAAAAATGAAAAATAATTACATCATTTGATTTCATGATATTTTGTATATCTTAAAAATAATTAATTCTGTCTTGTGATCCCAGACAAGCAAAAGACTGGGAAATGAGAAACCCTAGATAGGATACTAGATAAGTTTCATTCATGATGTAACATATATAACTGTGTATTGTGATAACTCATCTGTTCGAAATGATGTTACCTCATGGAAAATCAAAGTAAACAATATGTGGAAGGGTTATGAAGGGACATTTTGAATTGTGATGAAACAAGCCTCTTTTTTATGCATTACCAGACAAGACTGGGTTTTAAAGGAGAACATTGCAATGGTGAAAAGAATTCAAAATAGAGAATAATGATTATGTTGTGTGTAAATATGGCAGTTGAACTCCAAAAATTATTATAGAAAGAGCAATGAAACCATGATGTTTTAAAGGATTCAGTATCAGTGCTTTGGATTATTGGACAAATATGAAATCCTGGATGACTAGAGATTTGATGATACTGTAAAGCTGTCAGTGTATGATCAGAAAATGCAGCAACAAAATCAAAATTTGGTTTTGGTTTTAATCGTGTGTCATTACATTTTAATACTTGTTTAAAAAGTGTAAAAATGATTTTTTTCTTCTGCCAAATATGACTTCAGTCTGTCAACCTTTAGATAATTAATTTTTTAAATTAAATTTTGATAATTAAATCCTTCAAAATATTTTATCTGTGTGTTGTAAGACATTGTATAGCAGCAATTGAAGAATCAATGGCAAGTGCAGTTACACAAATTATTACTGTTCTAAATGCAATACTCTAGATTTCATCTTCTATAAAAAGAATTGTGTATAATTTACAATCTTCAAAAATTTTTCTAGTGTATTTCATTATCTTCCAGTTTAAATGTAATTTTTTTCAAATGTTAAACAATTATAACTTAAATAAGCATCTTTTTTCTGTGAACTTGCTTTGCTATAAAACAGAACTAATTTTTTTGATGTATTCAAAAAAGTATATGATTATCTTCAAACAAGATCATCATATACTTTAAAAATATTCAGATATATATGCAAAAATTGTTTGATATTTTACATCTTTTATCTTTTAACAACAGTGATAAAATAAACAATGCTATTCATTGTTATTTATGGAATAATTAAAATTATTTCACAGAAAGAAATATTAATTATTTGGAAGCGAGATAAATTGTTTCTATGAAAAAATTCAAAAAATTTATTTTGAATCATTGTTATAATGATAAAAATAATATTTTTGAGCGACATTTATTGAATTTGAATTATAAAATAAATTTACAGTAGAGCCTCAATTATCCGACCCCCGGTTAACCAACCGTCCTAGTCGGCAAATTTCAAATGTTCGCTAGTGATGTGGCGCTACAATATTTGGCTATGTCTTGACTACTTTAATATTATTTTTACGTGTTTTAGCTGGCAACACTCATTCGACCATGAAAGGGAGCCAGTATTTAAACGAGGCTTAATTTTCTAATTTTTAACGATATAATAGCGACGATTATTATTTTAAAAATTTTTGTTAGGCTTAACATCGATGAAAATTCAACGCGAAGTAGGTTAATAGTGATATACTAATATACTAATTACATGGGATATAATAATATACTACACTAATAATGGATTTTTTCATACTTTTCGGTTATCCGACCATCCCCAGTCCCCAATTGGGTCAGATAATCGAGGCTCTACTGTATATCATATATTAGAAAAATAATGAATAGTGTTTATTATATTTTCCAAAATCAAAAATTTATAATAATTGATTACATTTACGGATTTGTAAGTATTGATTAGTATTTTTTTTTATTTACTATTTTTCTTTTGGAATTTTTAAAATTTCTGATTTTACATTACCTTGTCTTAAGAAATATCTTGCATTCTTATTTATTGTTTGACATAATATTTTATTAACATATAGTTTAACTTTTTTGTAATGTGTTAAAGGTATTCATGTTGAATAGCAATGTTTTATAGCTAATTAGCAATAAAATTTATTAAAATTTTGTTCTTTTACATTGAAAAAGCTAATTAATTTTATATCTTCTGGAAGATTTTTAAATGTAATTATGAAATTTAATTAGTTGATTTTTTTACAGTATGATCTTTATAACTTCCTTGTTAAATAACATAATTCACCATTGTGAATTGTCAGTTTCCACTATTTTTAATCAATAATAGTTAAGTTAAATTTGATTTATGCATGAATTATTTCTTGATTTGCTATTATGAATGAAATATTATGTGCAATTATTTATTTAGGCAAGAAGAAAGAGACAGGAAGAATTAGAGAGACAGCGATGTGAAGAAGCTTTACAGAAAGCTCAGGTTAGTGGCAGTCATTCATCTTAATGTTTGTTTTATTTTATTTTTTTTCAGTTTTATACACTTACTCCTAACATTTAAAATAAAATGATTATAAATTATTAGAAATCAAACTTTGTTTTTCTGGAAACTAAAACTTATTTCATACAAGAAGTGTTTTTAGCTTGTGGACAGAATGTCTCATACAAAAGTTTAAAAATTCGCATATCAATTTTAAATATATTATAAAGCAAATAAATGAGTTTAAATTTTCATTTAGTATACCTTAATCATACAGATAATTAAAATATATACTTTTAAAATTAGTTTAAAGTATACATTTGAAATATCATAAAAGTAGTAATAAACTAATTCAAGCATTTTAAACACAATAAACTAATTTATAGTAATTTTTCACAATGACTTCAGTAATTTGAAGCAACAGCAGGAAAGTGTTAAAGTAGTTGTCTTTTGAAACAAGATATGTCATAAAAGAGAAGAAATCTTTCATGAAGTGCAAATCTGATTCAACTACAATGAATCTTTCTACACTTAATTACTTTTAATAGTATGTTATTTAGATATTTTAAATGTGCAGGCATGCATACATACATACATACATACATACATCCATACATACATACATACATACATACATACATAACAGAATAGCCATCTCTGTTTCTTAACAATGAGAACATGCTAACAATTATAATTCTCACAATCCAATGTCCTTTGGACAAAATAAATATTTTTTACACTAATACCTCTATTAACAGAAGAAAAATGTTTTTATATTCTTTTTTAATGAAAATGAAGATAGAAACAATATAATGAAAATTTTTGTTGTTCTGTTGTAAATTTAACAATATATGTATTGGCTATCTCTCCTTTGTTTTGACTTTCTTTGTACAGAGACTTTCTTTGTATTATTTTAAAAAAATGTCTAACACAATTTCATGTTTGCTATTTTCATGTACAGAGCAATTAATTTAAGCTAGATATTTAGCAGTAAGAATAAAGTTTTTTTCATCATATTAATTTGTTTAAAAACTTGCTTAAAACTTTGGATCTGTTTAAATGAGAAATTTATATTGCCTTTTGAATCTTCTCTTAGTTTATTTCAAAAATTTTCAACCTGTATTCTGAAGATGACATGTTAAACAGGTTGAAAACATAGTAAAATAATTTTTTTCTTTCTCCTTAAATCCTTTGTTTATGATGAATGTTCTTAATTCATATTATATTATATTGTATTGTTCTGAAAATACTACAATTTTTGAGTTTCAAGGAATGTTTCATAAGAAAAAAAAATAGAAATGAATGTATTAAGACCATTATTTTTATACCTGCAGAATTGTCTACAAAATAGTTAGTTGCTAGTACCATACGTGCTTCCATTACTTTGAATTTCTGCATTATCTCACAATTTTTATGATTCTAAGCATATCTCATCAGAACCATGTGTGTGAAATTTCAGTCATATGATTTTCTAATTTATTTTTTTGGCTGCCAAGTAGTTAAGCCTCATTTTTCAGCATGCTTTTGTATATGCCATTTTTCTTGCCTAAAGTTTACATAAAAGAAATATCATATTGGCAACATGTGAGCAGAATGGAACAAACCTCTGCTGTCACAAATTTAAAATTTTTGTCATACTATATGCAAGTTAAAATCTACTTGCTTACAATATGACTTTTTACTTTGAGAAGTAGAAATTTTGAAAAAATGTTTTATATTCAGAACAACATGATAAACTTTTTGCTATTGATATCACTTGTTAAATCTCTAAATTGCTGTAGAAATTGGCATAAACTTAACCACTTGACATTAATATACATAAGGTATTCAACATGCCCATTGCTATAAATTTCTTCTTGTAATCTAAATTTTTACTTAGATTGAATTTACAGGTTAATATTGTTTGTTTAGTATTATAAAAATGATTAGATCACTACATCAAGATAATATCTATTAAAACACTAAATAACTACTGTCTATCAGCATTAAAACACTTTTTATTATCAACACAACCACTTTTGACATTTTTATCAATGTCATCTTCAGGCAAAGAACATATATTTCAAAACTATGTTTTTTGCTGAAGATGGCATTGATAAAAATGTCAAAAGTGCTTGTGTTGATAATAAAAAATGTTTTAATATTGATAGACAGTAGTTATTTAGTATTACAAAATAAAAACAAAACTTTCGGCAATTACACTTTTAAAAAAGTTTGTGTTAAATAAACAGTACAAGTTTAAAGTATCCAGGAACTTCAAAATAATATAGTTTGTGTTTTGTTTTGTTTTGTTTTATTTTATTTTATTTATTATTTACAATGTTAGCATTAAATTTTATTTACTGGGTGGAACTATTTTATATTTATCAATAATATCACTTGTATAAAATGTTTTTATTTTACTTTTGTAATAGTTAATAAGGAAATAAGCAATTATGGATACAGTTTTCAACATCTTGAAAGCTATATTCATAATTTTTTTGTTTGATATTTTAGCATATAAAACTTGTTTGTGTATTTTATGGTGATGATGTAGAAATTTAAGAAAGTCTTTGTTGCTCTTTCATAACATGAAAAATCTATTGTGGCAATCTATTTTTAGTTAGTGATGTAAACTTATAAATAAGTAACTGAATTATCTTAACAAAGTTTTTAAAACTGTTAAATAAAAATTAATTAATAAATCTTCATCTCGTAATATGCCTTTCAACAGAATGGTCATAAATAATTTTTTCTTAAACAGGAAAGTCTTAAGAAACCATTTTAATAAATGGAATCAGTTTGTTTTATAGCATCAACTATATCAGTAGATTCATCCAACTGAATTGAAAATTCTTTGATGTCTTGTAGTAATTGCTCTTTTAAATTAGAAACTAATTCAGTCACTTATTGTGCAACTGTATTCAATAATAACTGCATTTTAGTTGGTGGTAGAAACTGTTTTTGACTTATACAGTATTTTTGCAGAATGACCGGCATGCCGGTTTATCCAGGGAAGACCATGAAATTAGATATTTTCATATGGTAAAAATCGGCATGCCAGTTTAAGTGAGGTTATACAGCCCTCACTAGAGGGTGCATTAATAAAAAATGGACTAGTTATGTCACATAAAAACAAATGAGTTTTTATTCTAAAACTGTGAAACTGTCAGCATTATATCAAAAACTATGATTATATGTTTAATTACTTTCCAGTTATTTATTTTCATTATTGAAAATTAAGGCAATACAAACAATGTTTGAGTACTTTTTCCTCTTTAAATCCTTTTTAATTTCAATCCAGGAACCACAAACAGCAGACAACTTGAAGTAAAATTTCTAAAAATAACAGATAAATACTATCAAAAAACTTACACACAATTAAAAATGATGACGCCAACTCTTTTTTGTAGGCTATGACGTCTAAAAATGTTAAAAATCATTAAAAATCTTTTTCAACAGCATCCATGTTATATAATCACATTTATAAGCTGAGAGTCCTCTGGTGGATTTTCAGGCAATCCAAAATTATTTACATAATTATACATATTACCACAGGATTATTTAACTGGATTATTTATTTTCATTATTGAATTAAAGCAATACAAACAATACAAATGCTATTACATAACATGGATGCTGTTGAGAAAGATTTTTAATGATTTTTAATGTTTTTAGACGTCATAGCCTACAAAAAAGAGTTGACGTCGTCATTTTTAATTGTGTGTAAGTTTTTTGATAGTATTTGTCTGTTATTTTTAGAAGTTTTACTTCAAGTCACCTGCTGTTTGTGGTTCCTGGATTGGAATTAAAAAGGATTTAAAGAGGAAAAAGACTCAAACATTGTTTGCATTGCCTTAATTTTCAATAATGAAAATAAATAGCTCAGTTAAATAATCCTGGGCTAATATGTATAATTAATTAATTTCATTTTGTCTTCTTTCTAATGTAAAACACTCTTGGGAATTTTGAAAGTGGTTTTTTTTATGTATTTTTTTGTTATTTGATTCAAAAATGCAAAGTAAACATTAAATTTAAGAAACTAGCTGTAAATTATCTCTGCTTACAAGGATTGGCTTTGTGTGAAATTTGAGAGGAAGATTTAATTTTTAAGGTCAGAGAAGATGGTCATTGTAGTCCACACTGACTAATCATTACCACTAATGTCAATAATAAGTTATTAATTGTTTTATTATCTTATAAACTAAAACTCTCTTCCTGAATTTAAGTCAGTCAAATTACAATGCTTTATTGTACTCAGAGAAATAATGTTTTTTTTTAACATTTAAGTAACTACTTTTGTTAGATCTGATTTAGTTTTATATTTTAGTCACAGCTTAACTGGCATGCTGGTTTTCCCATTTTTATGCAGCATGCTGGATATTCTGCAAAAATATGGTAAGTTGCAAAACAAAGATTTTCCTTTTAAAAATGCTTTTTTGAAAATTGTGTCATCACTAAAGTTTTATTTTAGCAAGAACATAAAAGTTTTAATTGCTATTGTATTTGTCATTGTCCAAAAAATAAGTTTTAATGCATATATTATTCGTTTTATGTAATTTTAATCAATATTTTTAATTGTTATTTATAAATTGCTTTTAAATTAAAACTTTTTCTATCATTTGATGGTAATCTGAAGATAGTTATTTAAATAGCTTAAACATTATTTTTACTTAACAAATATCTTTATTAGATAAGCAGTAATTTGTATCTTATTAAAATATTCTGTTAATTCAAAAAACATTGCAAATACTTAACAAATGAAGTTGTGACTATATTTAATTAAAGCACACTTTTTATTTACATTTATAACAAATAAGAAATGTTAACTGCATTTTTCAAATCTGTGTAGCTGTCATTGTTTATATATATTTGTTTTTTTTTTTTTTACATAAAAAAATTTTAAAACCTTAGGAAAGATTGTTTATGCACTGGAAGATATTTACAATAATTTATCAAAAAATTTACTTGTGTTTTTGCTAATCAGGACTAAACTGTTGCAAATTTCATATAAAATTTTTATT